CCCCCTCCTCCCCCTTTAGTTAACGAATACAGAAGTTGTGTTTTACATGTACATCCAAAATAACGGTCGGGTCTGTTTGAATCATGCTGACTTTAAAGGAAACATGTATTATGATTGTTATTACTTAAGTATGGTGGCCCTGAAGGGACATCGCATATCGCAAACGTGTGCGCATACGTATATGCGATGTCGCGAAATTTATCGCGAATGTGTGCGCACACGTATGCAATTCGTGAAACAATTCGCGAATATGTGCGCACACGTATGCAATGTCGCAAAATTTATCGCGAATATATGCGCACACGTATGCGATGTCGTGAAATTAATCGCGAATATGGCGCACACGTATGCGATGTCGTGAAACAATTCGCGAATATGTGCGCACACGTATGCGAATTTGTTTGCAATGTCGTGAATGTTATTGCAACCTTGTCGCATACCTTTCAGTAAAATTCCTAATGAACTGGGGAGTTGTAGCAGCTAGTCTGGAATCTAGACGTATTGTTAGATATAAATAGGGTCTGACTAATAAAACCTTCGCGCGCACGCTGTTCCTCGTGCAATCGTTACTACTAGTATTGTCGAGCGCAAACTTGCTACTGCGCAACTTTGAATTTGCGCGCGCAAGTTTCAAAGTTGCGCAAGTAGCAAGTTTGCGCTCGACAGTACTAGTAGTAACGATTGCACGAGGAACAGCGTGCGCGCGAAGGTTTATTATTCAGACCCTATTTATATCTAACAGTACGTCTAGATTCCAGACTAGCTGCTACAACTCCCCAGTCATTAGGAATTTTACTGAAAGGTATGCGACAAGGTATGCAATAAAATTCACGACATTGCAAACAAATTCGCATACGTGTGCGCACATATTCGCGAATTGTTTCACGACATCGCATACGTGTGCGCATATATTCGCGATAAATTTCGCGACATCGCATACGTGTGCGCACATATTCGCGATAAATTTTGCGACATCGCATACGTGTGCGCACATATTCGCGATTAATTTTGCGACATCGCATACGTGTGCGCACATATTCGCGATAAATTTCGCGACATCGCATACGGTGCGCACACGTTTGCGATATGCGATGTCCCTTCAGGGCCACCATACTTAAGCCTTCGAGCTTCAAGCCCAAAACCTTTACGGGAGATTTTTTATCACCACATGTGTTTATAGGTCACTAACCCTGGCATGCCTGTACATGCACAAGATATAGGTCATCACATGGCCAGGGATTGTTTACAACCTGTCTGAGCTCAAAGAGCATTTCGTGTAAATACTTCATATAAGTGTCCACGCGAAAAAAAAATCGAATTGTTTTATACTTTGTGAGATGAAAGGACTTTGGAAGCAAGTAACCAGAATATACTTTTTAAACTTTTATTTTGCCAGTTGCCATGGTTACGGACCATTACGTGTTTGGGCCATTTTGGGGCAATTAGGAGGCTGCAAAAATTCATTGTTTTGCGTTAGTTTCAAAGGTCATCAAGCCAAACCGCAAGGTAATGTCACAAAAGTAACTATATCACGACAAAGTATCATCCTTACCCTTACAAAAAAAAATAGAAACACTTCTGAAAAATCATCTTTATATCATTGTAGGCCCTACCGTACAGCATGTTTTTTCAACTAGCGAAATTGCATTTTTTTTAACCCATTTTTAGCCCTCCAAAATGGCAAAATATGAACTTCCCACCTAACCAAGTGCCTACAGATTTTAACCCTGTTCTGGCGGGTATTTGGGTTTTTCTGAAAGGGAGGGTACAGCACATTGTGATCCCCATGTTGATTTGCATATGCTTTGACCGCTTTTCCTACAACTATTTGGCAGGAAAATATTGGTTGACCACTACTCTAAATATGACATTCTTTGTTCTAGTGCTGCTTCCACTAGAGGTGTTTTTCTATATATTTTTCCAAACTCTTGTCTAGATAACATGTTGGGCATAATTTCTATATTTTATGTGTAAATGGTTCTATATTTAGTACGAACATTAGTGGTCTACACATTCATCGTAGTCAGGTAATTGTATGCATCCATTGTCACTGCCATATGGACTATATACTTACTGATTTTTTTTTTTTTAAATGGTTGGTTTTCACCCCGAATTAGCAAAAACTGAGGTAAATAATACATAATTATGGCGATGTTATTTAATGCTCTGCAATTGATTCATGTAATAATCAGAACAGTACATCAAAACAAGAAATGGTACAGATTGAAAGGTGAAAATTACATGGGCTTAATTCTCGCACCAATGGTGGCCACGTTACATACCTAGCATGTATTGTTGTTAATTATATAGCCATGAATTTCAGTCTAAAGATAATACTTTCGTGATAGGTTTTGAAAATGGAAGTATGACCTTACTTTATGAGCACCGATGTCTTTACATCGGTTGTTGTGGTAATAATGAACACACTACATAAGTGTGTTTGGTGCCATGGTGACCACTGTTAAAAGTTTGGAAAAGTCACAAAATTTCATGTTGATCAGGCAAATACAAATTTGGAGGACACTTCCACTTAAGAAATACTTTAGACCCTAACTTCATGTATATAGCCAAGTCACGTCAGAGTGAAATTTATTTAATCAAATTGACGCTGTGTTCTCTCGGAGTTTTCACTGGAGTGATACTTGTTTTAAAGTACATGTATTTCAGTATAAACAAATAAGAGTTAGTTGCTCTCTTAATCGCCAGATCTTTTCCGTTTTGAAAATAATAAAATAAATGTCATTTTGTTCACCACACCTTTACTGTAATTCCAAAAGTAACTTGCATCGTAGATACATATGCACAGTGTACATGCATGTGTCCAGATCACCCTTCCCGCCCCCCCCCCGACATACACACTCTCTTCTCCCTCGCTGTTCGGATATTCCAAGCTGCCCCGTGTTGTAAAAAGCTACCGTACAGAAATTCAGACTTTCCCCAAGGCCATATGCATGTACATAATCTAACAAAATTGTACTTGTTGACTTGTTGGGGAGAGGGCGGGGCTCTCTTATGAGCATTGGGAGTGGGGGTAGCAGGGGAAGGGGCTAGCTGTGAGACGGCTGTTGGTGTAGATTGTATAAAAAGGTTCACTTGCAAATTGATATGTAGCATTTACAGTTTAATTTAGGAAAATACATGTAGAAATCAAAATCTAAATTTGGTGGCAAGGGGCGGGGCCTAGCTGGGCGGGGAGGACTAGACATCATTTGAATGAGGACAATGGATATGGCCATTATTATTCATTGCGGCTTGCAAATACATGATTTTTGCCCATGTGACAGTGATTTTACCGACAAAGCCAAGTTATTGGTGGGTGGTCACACCCAACCTCAACCCAAAGCAAGGCCCCGGGGTGGGGGAAGGGGAGGCTGTGATAAGGAAGTCTTTCTAATTTCTAAAGTGTTCACTTGCAAACTATTTATTTACATTTGTGTCGTTATGCAACATACAGTATCTAAATTCGGTGGCGGAGGGGGAGTGGGCGGGGCCTAGCAAGGTCGGGGGTAACTACACGACCTACTATTCATCCACTGGTCTAAAAGTGATACACAGTCTGATTGTGTTTGTGGAAATGTGCTAGATTCATGAACAATACCACTTATACAAGTTATTACTCAAAACAAAGGACAAAACTGAAAATACACTTTTTAAAGTTTTTGTGAAAATTACCATTTGTTTTGGAGCGCCACTGCACAAAGGATATACAATAACCCGAGATTTTCTCACCAGATATGAAAAGGCCAAAGTATGAACTAACCATAGCCGAAGGGAAATTATTCTGAGTGCCCTGGCAAGTGCCATTTTGGAGGGTTAAAAATGGGGTAAAAAATGCAATTTTGCTAGTTGTTATAAGTCAAAACCTAACCCTAAAAGTAATATAAAGGTAATTTTCAGAAGTGTTTCTACATTTTTCTTGTAAGGGTTATGATCATACTTTGTTGTGATATAGCTACCTTTGTGACATTACTTCGCATTTTGGCTTGATGACCGTTGAAAATAACGCAAAAACTTGTATTTTTGCAGCCTTCAAATTTCAGTCCTTCGATTTTTTGAGCGTGAACACTTATATGAAGTATTTACACAAAATGACTCTTAAATACATTTAACCCTATAGGGGCCGGTGGCGGAATTCGCCCCCCCCCCAACTTTTTTCCGCGATAGCCTTGAATTTTTTTTTCGCCACCCGAGCGCTACGCGCCGTGAAAACTGAATTTCCCCATATATGTAGTGTACACAGAGCAGTTTTACCCTTCGTGCATTCCAAAACCCTTTGACTTATAGTCATGAAATTTCTTGGGTATGTTAATGAATAGTTTGTCTATGCATGTTCCGAGTTTCAGAATTTTTTGTCACTCGATGGCCGAGATCTTGCCCCCCCCCTCCACCCACGGCTGAGAGATGGTCAAAATAACACGGCCCTTCTAGGGTTAAAACAGTTTTTTTGCCATGTTACTATGACTTTTCACCTCCTTTGTAGCAGTGTAAGGGAGACATTTCAACATTGTAGTTTTTATGCTTAAGAAAATTTCCATATTCATGAGCCTAAGTGTGATGTCATTCAAGGCAGAACGGTAGTATCTCTATAGCTTTGTGTACACATATATCTAAAGCTTTTCTTCATTTTCTTGGAGTAAGTGCCAATTTGTACTTGTTTATCATGTTAAACAGCTTTTTTGGACAATAGTATTTATTGTGGGCAAATTTGAAGGACAGGGCCCAATTTCATAGCACTGCTTAATGGGAATATTCTTTCTCAGGTGTGCACTTTGGTGCATTCGGCCGCCATTGTGGAGTTCAAATTTGTCTCATGGTCTAATCCAAACCATGTGGAACCCGATGGAGGGTGCTGCGATCCCGGGTGGACGTCCTGTTATCCGTGCGACAACCGTTTCAAGCTTTGCCTTGGTACAGGGTGAGATCTATTGCCTTCTATTCAAATTGCATTAAAGCCGGAGTCCATCATTTGCAGCCATCCGAAAAAGTAATTAACTGGCGTAATTATTGTTGAAAAACATACTTGGTTGAATGATAGTAAAGGGACTAAACTCCCTGTGAAATTATTCTTTCTAGCAAGCTCTCATTTTGAAGAAATCAACGAAAGAAGGCATTTCCAACGGTTCGTCTTAAAGGGACACTATATGTCCTGGAACAGCCCAATTGGGCTACAAAACGCGCTTTGAACGAGATGATGATAATAGGAAATTACTTCTAAAAGTAGGATATAAACATCCACACAACTATCCTTTCAAAACTGGGCGTTTTTGTGTTATTCCTGTATTATGCGTGCCAGAACGAATTTCGGGGTCCACTTTTGCGACCCAATAAATTCGAGCTGTTTGGATGCTAGTTGTGATTTCATTCGTACGCGTAAAGTGTTCGCCTTTTGCGGACGTTGAAGAAACCACAATTTTTTTGCATTGGTGATTGGTCACCGCGCGCTGTTCCCGAGACACACAACGTGTATAGCGTACATGAGAACGACACGAAAAACGTATTCGTACTCTGTCATGTCCGATGTAAACAAGCGGGTTTTTTTCGTCTTTTCTCGGGAACGGTAATTAGACATTAGGTTGGTTTCCTTTCAACCAGATGTTTGAAATAGGCTAAGTTAACAATCCAAAACATAACATTTTCGGGGATTTCAGGACCTAGTGCCCCTTTAAGAAGCACCGTGGGAAAATTTAAATTAGTCGTTCGTTTTGTTATTTGGCGCAGCGCGCGCAAGCATTGGCACGACGCACAGGCGCGCGTAAAACTGCAAATTCAAAACAATTCAAAACATGATTCAGCAACTTTTGAATTGAAATTGAGATCCTAGAATGTTGTTTTTTTGGGAATATACAGCTGAAGCTGAGCTGAAACTTCATCAGGTTAGTTGTTCAGTATCCTTCATTAATTTTTAACACTTTTGTTGCTTCAAACGAACAAAATGCACAAATTACAAATGATGGACTATACCTTTCAAGACAATACAAACCCCACCTTTCAACTTCACCAGCTCTGTTTTAGAAACACTCATGGGAAAACAATTAAATTGATTTTTTTTTGTCGTAATTTGTAGATCGAATTGTGCTTCTGGCACTAATTGTGTTGCGACGAACATGGTGTATGAGAACAACGATGATTTTCAGTTTCCGTCGTTGATTCCCGATGACATTTCCAATCCGGTGTCTGCTAGCGTTGCAAGATGGACGGTATGTTATTAAAGACGTTTGCATAGTTTTATTTTCTTTCACATTTTGCACAAAATGTATTTATTATTACTTTTTAACCTGTAGTTTATCATCAGCAAGTTTCGACCCCTACGTCAACCCCTCCCCCTAAGAAAGTTATTACAAACTAGAAGCCTGTGTCTGTTCGATAAACAGAATATAGGGTTTTTCTGCATTTATATAGTTTTTCAAAACATTTGGTACAGTGTAGCCACAAACCATTCTAAACTGCCTATGTCTATCACAAACTGGAGGCATTTGTCCTTCTGTTCGATAAATAAAACATACGGCTTTTTTGCATTAACGATTTTTTCAGAAAATGTATGTTTTGTTCAGTGTAGCCACGAACCATTCTGTTCTTAGCTCAGAGGAGAATTTTATGTTGCCCGTGCAAAAACACAAGATCCATTAATAATAAACATTTATTTTCTGTTGTCTAGACTCCAAGGACGTTACATGGCCCGTCCATATTGAAGTCTACTCATATTGTCTATTCTGAGTATCCATATGTAACCAGAAGTGCGCTTCAAAGATAGAGCATATGAATAGGCCGACATTTGCCGAGTCAACAACAAATTTTAAATATTGTGAACAAAGATCAAAAGTTGTTTGCTTTTGCATTTTGAGAACAATATAGATCAATGCAAGTTAATATTCATGAGTATAAAGCAGGATGAACAACGCACCTGGTTCCACGCACGCAAAATATCACTGCAATGCGCGAAGCCCACTGATCTATACACGTTAGTGTAGAGATCAGTGGTGTAGCCTGGTTCCCAGACCAAAATGATGCTGACTATTGATGTTCAATAACCGACTTGGCGAAAACGTTTTCTATTTGTACACAACATATGAGAGTATTTTGAATCGCTAACGAATTCTATGCGAGCACTCTGATTGGTTCAGATTTCAGCGTGTATTCTAGGCCGCTAGGCTACAGAAGGTCAGTCTCATTACTTTGAGAGTTTGTGCTTTGTGTTGTGAAACGTTCCAAAATTCATTATAGGGCATACACGATTCAAATAAATCAAGTATATTATCAAAATGTACAATGATACATTCTATTTCTATACACAGTTGACCAAGCTGAGGGATTTGGCCGTTAAAACGTCGCCCGATCTGCAAACATGTCCCGATTTATTGAGAAAAACTCCCCATGTAACGGAATGAACGAGTCCTCATTTGCATTGCTGTGCGCCATTGGATCTCACCGCATAGATTCACTGCATATGTATTGCGCTGCACGCATATGTGAATATCGTTCTGAGAACGTGCCCGTCAAGTCGTTAGATATGTCGTAACCCCGGCCGATTATGTACTAGTCAAATACCAGCCGCGCCGATGGAGTTCGACTGAAGTTCACAGTCAAAATACGACTATCTTACGACTTGTCATCAAGTCTAGATGAACAACTTTGCAGAGTGGTGGATACTTCGCCCTCTCATTTTTATTATAGACCTGCCTCCGTGGTGTACAAAGCGTGTCATTCCATAAATAATTCATAAACATGTATGGTTGTTTACAATGACAAGAGCCAACGAACGCAGGCATCATTAGTAAAACAAACAGGATTTCCTGCAAACGGTTTAATTAACCCTCCGAGCAGCGAAGCGGTGATAAAATTCTCCACATTTTCCAAACATGGGCATAAATTTTTTTTCAATGGGCCAATTAGGCCAATTAAGCTTCCATCTAATCCTCACCCCTTCTATACATCACAAGCCTGTAGACTCCCTTTGGCCAGACCCTAGCCACTCCGGAGTAAGGAGTGTTGAAAGACAGAAGCTAAGATGGCGGCTCATGCCTTTGTGCAGTAATTGGAGAAAATGGCAGCCAAACCCGTTGTGCCGCCGATCTCTTTGTGTCAGCCCCTGGTGCCGCCCAGAGCCCAGACAGGTTGTAAACAATCCCTGACGATGTGAATGAACTATATCTTGTGCATGTACAGGCATGCGGGGGTTATTGACCTAGAAACACATGTGGTGATAAAATTCTCCACGTGGGTCCACGGTGTGATTTTTTTTTACTAAGTTGCTCCCAGGGTTAAGGGATTAAGGGATGAAGATGACAAGAAGTTTAAGGAAAACATTCACAAATACTTTCATCGTTAACTTTTGAACTGAACTGAGTAATTTTTTTGTGAGATGGTAGATTGCCTTGGGCAACATGTTTGAATTCCGAGCACATTGAAATTCAAACACTTGAACTTTTACTTCCGGGCTTACCAGAAGTGCAGTGACAAATGAATACAACTTGAATACAAAAGCATGCATTTGCACGTTAATTAAAGAAAAGGTTTAAGTCAGATACGCTAAAAACAAAAGGAAGTAATCATGACGTCAACGCTCACTTGAAGGGCGCCCTCTATGGAACATCAAGAAGTTGATGGTTTGATTTGACAATCCTTTCACACACAAATACTGCAGAAATTACCCACCAACTTTCTTTGGACGGTTAGAATGATGACGTCATCAGACCCGGAGGTAATACTAGGGAGAATACTAGGGATTTGTTTTTCTTATATTCAAATCCATCATTCAGTGCCTACCTAATAGTGATGATTGTGGCACGACTGTTGATATCATCAACATCTCTTGATTTAGGCATTCAAATGCTGTGACGTCATCAAACCGGAAATTACAAACGCGCACGATGCACCTTCGTGTGATTCTCATTTTCAAAGGAAATGTTTCCTATCATTGCCTTTGGCCATATGATCATTGAAATTGCATTGTTTTTAATTAAACAGATCTCTAGAAAATAAGCCGGATCTGTGTTTGAGGTGTTATAAAACAAATTCAGACTGCTTTGACCCAAGGTACAGTAAAAGTCGGATCCATGGAGCGTTCTATTTTCCCAAAAAGATGGTTAATTTGACCAAATAGGGAGGCTACTTTCTAAAATCTACATGTCACTTCGTGGTCGTTCTGTGTGTCTGTCCCGGGAAAAGGGACCAAAATAAAAAAAAATACACATTTTATGGCTGTTTTTTCTTTGCACAGACGTAATAAAATTATGTTCTGAATTATCGAAAGAATGGTTCGTGGCTAGACAGTACGGATCATTGATTTTCTGCATAAGCAACATAATATGCTTATTTTCTAAAAAAAAAAAACAACCCTGCATTTTGTGGCTTTTTGGTCTTTGCAGGGAATAATTAAAGTTTGCTCTATTAATTTCTGGTCCTATTTTAATAGTTTATAAAATAAGGCAGCTGCTGAACGGCGGAGGGAATTGCAACCGCCCCCTCTAAATCTGATAGTGTAGAAGGAGGCTTGTTGGAAATGAGAGGGTGAAATTATTTTCCATTATTTTGTCTTTGATGAAAACAGTTGTTCTCCCTCGTTTCTACTCATAAATATTGATTTGTGATGACATTTTTTTAAAGCCAGGCATCCAGTCAAAAAAAGCTACCTAATATGGGAGACGTGATCTATATTTTTTTGGTTCAAATTATGTCGGTAGACTTCAATTTGGAATTTGGTGGGGCCTCTGAGTCCCTGGAGTTTATGTAACATATGCTTAACATCCAAAAATACATGTTTTTATTATGGCTGTCTTGTTTTTGATGGGCATAATAAAACGTTTGCTCTGAGCCAACGAAAGAATGGTCCGTGGCTACATTGTACGAAATGTTGAAACTTCTCCGTTTAGGTATGAGAGCAAAACTGGTGAGGTACCAATGCAATCAGTATAATGGCGAAAATAAGAGAAGTGTATGGACTAAAATAATTCCTGATTTGATATGAATTTGATATGCCCTTTCAAAATGAAGCTTGGAGCCATGGGCGTCGCCAAGATTTTTCTAGATGGGTCAAAGTATCTCTCCCCCCCCCCAAAAAAAAAATCCCTGTACTTTTTTAGCATATTCTCAATTGATCATTTTTTCGAGGGTGGGTAGGGGGACATGTACCCACCCCACCCATGAAATTAACAACATTACCAATGTTTTTCTCCCCCCCCCCCCGCGATGCCCAAAGCAAATTGTTCCCCCAAATCCTTGTACTCTCTCTAGCATATTCTCAGTTTTTGGGTGGGCAGGGGGGGGGGGGGACATTTGCCCACCCTACCCCCATTAACACCCATGCAGACGCCCATTTTCTTACATGTGTATTAAACTAATAGCAAATATGACTTCACACCTCTTTTTCTTTCTTTCTTTCTCCCCCCTCCTTTTTTTTTGCTTTTCCTGTGGGGGGCGGGAGCTCCCCCTTGCCACTCCCTTCCCCTCGCTACGCCCATGTCGAATGCAACATCAATGGAAACTGGAAACCCTGTTGCTCACTTTGAATGAGATTAGTGCTGATGAAGTCGCACAGAAAAATGAAGGATTACGGGGTATATTGCAAAAGTGGCATTTTTGTGTTTGAATGCACATGTACTGTACATGGTATATAAACACATGTGCTGGGTTCAAAAGTACATGTAGTGGTGAAAGTTTGCAAATTTATTCTCGCAATAAACCCTGTTTGTACATCTTCGGACGGGGTTCAAGTTTATACCAGTTGTTATAATTCCGTAGATCGTTTGGAAGAAATTCACCTAACTTTGACCTTCCGGTTGACCCGGAAGTACACGACAAAATATGTTCATCAATTAATGGTCTATCTGACTACCAGGTTGGAACATGATTAATTATTTTGTTAAAGAGTCATAAACGAAATAAGATCGTCCTTATTTCAACGAAAATCGCTTGTAATTTGACACCCGATGACGTCATCATGACGTCAGGGTAATATTCATTACTAGGGATGAGGGTCGATATATATATTGAAAGTTACAAGTTAATACCATAAACCGCTGAGGAAAAAACCTGCGGAGAAGTATTGTCCAGAACTAACAAAGAAGATTGATGAGAACAATTAACAGACAAGTGAAATCACTGAAGGCCTCGAAGCATGTGACCCCTCAAACCCCGTACCTGCACCTTGTCAACGTGTTGCATAATTTTCTGGAGAAACCAATCGGCGGTTTTACTGTGATGATGATACTATGTGGATTTTTTTATAATTAGGGTCACTTGGAAATCAGTTTGGAGGTTTGGGATGTGGACCCTGATGGTGGGGATGATGAAATATACACGGGCAAAAAGACCATCTCGCAAAAAGCTGCTAGCTCAGTTTCAAGCGCAGTCTGGACTGACTACTCGATGGGCACAGATACAACGTAGGTATACCGTTTTGCTCCGCATTGGTGGCTGGAAGTCTTTTGAATAATCTGAAAAGTTCGTTCCCCAGTCAATTTGCTGATCAAAACGACATTTCAAAAAACAAATATTGTCAAATTACATAATACAAATGGACGCGGAACGCGCAAACACAAACTAAACTTATATTAAAGGGACACTGCGTCATGGAACAGCCCAATTGGGCTACAAAACGCGCTTTGAACGAAATGATGTTAATCGGAAAGAGCATTAAAAGGTAGGATATACTAACAGCCACACAACCATCCTTTAAAAACTGGGCGTTTTGTGTTTTTTCTTGTGTTATATTCGTGCGAGAACGAATTTCGGGTTCCACTTTTGCGACCCCCGAAAATCGGGCTGTTCACTTTTGTTCAGTGCTAGTTGTAATTTCAGCCGTACAAGTGTTCGCTTTCTGCGGACGAGTTAGAAACTACATGTTTTGGGGGGACAGGCTTCACAATGGAGATCAATGCTCCCTGCTGTGTATTATGATGGGCATGGCTATTGGTAACCAGTGGTGCCCTGTGGTCTGGTTCCATTACAGAAATCGCCTTTTTGAGACATGCCTGTTAAAAAAAAAACCAGCGATCATAAACAAGGTTACAGGTTCTGCATCAGAAGTATTAGCCCTTTGTCACATTTGTCTCCTCTCTCCGAACATGCAGGTTCCAATTCAGTGTAAGAGTGTACTGTGAAAGCGAATACCAGGGTCCGGACTGCGGAATGTGGTGCCACGATACGGACAACCAGAATAGCTTCTTTGAAATGTGAGAACACAGTCAGTAATAACAGACCCAGCTAGTGCTAAAATACTATACAATAATAATGTATTTATTTACACATCTCAATGTTCTCTGAGGTACATTAACTCTTTAATTATAATTATTGTCATTATTGAAACCTATGGTACACATATTTTGCATGTGTTGAAAAAGAGACGTTATGGTGAACCAGATTTGACGTCAGTTACACTTAATTGACACATCAATTCACCAATGAAAAACAAAAACAAACGCACCAAGATATTTGCCAACACATCGTGAATTCAAAAACCTAATACACCAAGAAATGTACGCCAACATTTACAAAATGTCAATTCTCTGTGCCACGAAGGCCGACTTTAATACACGGCGGCACCTTCCAGCACCATGGCATACATCCTGTTAAAACGCCACCAAGGCAAAATACACAAATATTAATACGTCAAAGAGAGACGTTATATAGTGAACCAGATTTGACGTCAGCTACACTTAATCAACACATCAACGTTTTATTAATATTTTTACACAAAATTCAACCTATGAGTTCATACAAAAATAGTACAATCATGGGCGTCGCCAGGATTTTTTTCTAGAGGGGGGCAAAACATATTTTTCCCAAAAAAATTCTTGTATTTCTGAACAAATTCTCGATTTCTCAGTTTTAGACGGGGGCAGGGACATTTTGCCCCCCCCCCCCAACTCATTAAATTTACACCACTATGAGTTCGCGCCTTTTTTTTTTTTTTTTTTTTTTCTTCCCTTTTTTTCTTTTTGCTTTTCCGGGGGGGGGGGGGGGGGTGGGGCAAGCGCCCCCTTGCCCCCCCCCCCCTCGCGACGCCCATGAGTACAATGTTGCGATGTTATGAAAAAGCTTCGCTTCGGTGGCACACCCGAATGCCATTATGGCTGTCTCCCCACCCACAGGGGGGGGGGGGGGAGGTGGACACTATGTTCCGAAAAAGGGGAAAAGTACGTTGCTTGGCGAAAACAATCGCTAAAAATCTGAGAGGTGATAAACTTGTTGTTTGTTGCATTTCTTTCTTAAATGCAGTAAGCAGAAAAGGGACATGGAAGAGCTGTGAGGATGTTTGGTGCAGAGAAAGGTCAAGAATCATCTGATGATGTAAGTACCATCTACTGAGTAGCTGGTCGAGTTCAAAAACTGAACTCATTTCATGCCAATGAATTTTAGCGATGGCAAAAGCGTGATTTATCCCCCTCTAGAACAAAAAAAAAAACATTGGCGACGTGTGACGCCGAATAAATGTTATTAATACGGGGAATGGTACCTTGGGGGCATTCCCATGGGGCTGTGCACAAAATGTTTCCGACTTTAATGACCCCTGACCCCCATTTCCCTTATCCTACCCCAACGAATTCAGGTATTGTTACGTTTTGGAGCCTATTTGCGACGGCACTTTTTTGCCTTTAAATACAAGTTGTGACATTATAGGGAGACATTGAAATGTCTCCTTAATGTCCGGTGTCTCCCTAAGGTTTAACCTATGACGAAAAATGTCTGCTAAAGGGTACTTAGTGAAGATAATTATGATAAGACAAAAAAAGTCTACGGTTTCTGGTCTGCGCGTGCGTCGCCGTAGCCATGCGCGTCGGCAATTTTTTTTATTTTTTACAACCAGCATCCAAACAGCTCGAATTTATGGGGTCGCAAAAGTGGACCCCGAAATTCGTTCTAGCATGCATAATACAGGAATAACACAAAACGCCCAGTTTTTAAGGGATAGTTGTGTGGATGTTTATATCCTACTTTTAGATGTTATTTCCGATTATCATCATCTCGTTCAAAGCGCGTTTTGTAGCCCAATTGGGCTGTTTCAGGACCTAGTGTCCCTTTAAGCTTTATGTGGCCTCTCTGGGCTCCCATATATTTTACACTAAATTTAGTCAGGGACCATCAAAGTTGCAGACAGTGTTGCAATTTTGAAATTGTGAGTCTGGAAGCCAGATTGAGGGAGCGATGGTCGTGTTTCTGAAACCTGTAAACGCTTTTTAATCAGCGCAATGGTAAGGGAGCAGACTATTTGACCGGCCTGGAAGCTCGGGCATGATGTCGATGTCGCTGTATGGTCTTCTCTGTATGGTACCGTTTTCTCTGATTTTTGTCTTTACTATCCAAATTTCAAAAAAAAAAATGTTTGTGTCGGTCGGGATCATAAGTGGGTGCAGAATTCTCAAGCCTTATGGCCTTGCTCAGGTCACCTCAAGCTCCACTCTGAAAAGATATATTTTGAGAGAGTTTTAAGGGGATCGAAGCGTTATCTGCAACATCAGCCGAAATTTGAAGAAAAACAAAAGTTGGGACAAAAAAAAACGCGTTGCCGCACCACTTTTGGGGCAAGCTCCATATCAAAAACCGGAACTTTTTTTCTTTGGCCTAACACGGCTGATATTAGATATTGGGTTTATGAAGTTCATTCTTGTAAATGGAAATAATTGGTATGTCTGCAGAAGTCTTGGCATCCATTTCAGTTGGCATTATACACTGTACTGGATATTGAACAGAGGCCTTTATACGTCAAGCAGTCTGTATATTCGGACTGATGTAAGCTGATAATTTTTTTTAACACTGCAGGAAAAGCTTTGGCCTCATCTCTACCCAGTCAAAGACATGGCAGCGGAGTACATGACATTTAAGACGGGAAAGACTGCTTTTGAAAATTTCAGATTTGTTTCCATTTTTTCGTTTCGATTTTGTTTCTTTATTTGTCTTTTCTTCAAGATGTGCCGTCGGTGCTTTAAAACAATATGAGTTCTGGCGTATTTTTAACTATTTGGTTATATTTTAACGAAAAACAATATCCCCACCTGTTGCCGTCTGCAAGCACTTTTTATCATGACTAACTTTTGCGCATTCACAGATCCAGCCTGCTAGTAGACTGGGCCCCCCATTATTGATTCTGATAAGATTCAAATGTTTGATAAAATTTAAAATTATTTTCAAAAATCAAATTGTATACACTACAGTAATCACCCAAAATTAAACGACGACTGATCTTTGTCTCTGTTGGAAGTTTCATTCAAAAGTGAAAAAAAAAAAACACTTTGTTATTGCTTTGAAAATATTTATCGACAGAAATACTTTTTTTCGGGTAAAACTTAGAAAAAGCACGGAAAGTACATTTTGAATGCATGTGGTTATTTGTAATGTACAATCTCATGTAGGGCGGTTATAATCACACAGTGACCACACACGGTGCTAAAAAATAGTAAAGTCACGCTAATTTAGAAGTGACAATCTCCGCAGTATATTGAAAAGGAAACTCCTTCAAAGTTACACCTTAAGACTATTAATAAGATGGGATTTTTGCGTCGGGGTGATGTAAATAAAATTAGGTTTTGCCCTTCACCGACGTATAAACACTGTATACTCAGTGTGTTACCTCCCAAGTGAAAGCTGAAAAACATCACTCGGGTGGGACTCGAACCCACGACCTCCTGCTTTCTAGGGCTTTCTGAGTATACATGATTGTTTATACGTCGGTGAAGGGCAAAACCTAATTTGATTTACACCTATAGACCTTTATCATGCTGCCACCATTTCAGTCATCCCTGTATACAATAACAGTACTGAATGATAATGCTTTTTGTGCAAAAAAGGAACCAGACTATTCTTTTTTCCAGCCTCGCTTTGGCCGCAACATCATCATGGTCTATAGGAGAAACGCCGAGAATCACAGTCAACGTTCATTTGATTTCAGATTACGTTCATTTAATTTCAGAATTACCACTATTTTCAAATTTATTGTTCTTTTTGCTTAATTGTGTTTCCTTAGTTTCCTTTAAATGTATTATTGCACAGATAAAGTTACATCATGGTATCTGATTTGTTTTAGTTTGCGAGTAAATCTTGTTTTAGCTTTGTTTTTTTTTCTCATTTGGGTATTTCTCGGTATTAAAGATCGCCATTTATGACAATTAATTTGAAACTGGTCTCGGTTGCTCCATTCATAATTTGTTCTCATGATGTTATGAAATTGGAATTTTTTAATCGTGATATACAGGGAGCCCCCCTAAAAAAAAAACCTCAAAGTGCCCACTTTTTCACAGCTAAAAAAAAAATACATATTTAGAGAGTATGTTTTATTAGCATTTCAACAGCAAAAATCTTTCCACCAATCGGGTCAAAAATAAAGTTATTCCAATATTTGTCTCTAAAACTTAAGCCTGTTAATACTTGTTCCGCCCAAAACCACTCTGGTTGCTACACAGTCTAGGTAACAGATTCACCGAGGATTAAATTCATTATGGCTTAAATACAAAGATTAACAAGCAGTATACAAGCGTCAATGGGTTAATTTGTTATAAGGCATTTGAAAATGTTATGTCTTGGAAAAATCGAACTTGGGCATTTTGCAAAAAATTACAAAGCACCACAAACTACCAATAGACCGCTTGCAGACGCAATCGATAATTGACGCGCAAAGGTGCACGACGCCATGTTATGGGACAAAATGTGCATGGATAGATATACGCCTGTCCCACAACATGGCGTCGCGCGCCTTCGCGCGTCGATTATCGAACGCATCTGCAAGCGGTCTATAGAAATGTTTCACTGAAAACATTTTAACATGGAGTATGTTTTTTTGGTTTAGCAAAAATGGAAGAGCATGAAGTATGAGGCATTTAACCTCACCAGTTTTCCTCATATCTGAATGCTGAAAATTAATATCTACACGGCATGTAATCACAAACTGTTCTGTCGTAAACTCACTGCAAAATTTGATTATGCCCATGCAAAAGACAAACAAAAAGCCATTTTATGTTAAGATATTAGCGTATGCTGCAAACTCCAACGTTAGAGTCTCCGTCAAGTCTACCAATGTCGTAAACTCAGTGCAGAATTTTATTATACCCTACAAAAGACGAAAACAAATAGAAGTCAGTCTATTTTGGTACGGTTAGCATAATTATGTTGCATAAGCTGCAACGACGTTAGAGGCTAGATAAGTCAAGTCTATAGTCTGGTTCTATGCTGAACGATTTTGTGTGCGTGATCACGCTGCCGCATGAATTTCGCCGACAAGCCAATGTAAGGATGTACCTCGAGAACGTTTAGTTTTAACTAGTGCGTGGAAATTAATAATTCTCAAAATAAATAAGGAGTGCCAAATAGACCACGATTCGTCCACTTCATGACAGTTTAGGACATATGTTGCCATGATGCATTAACCCAAAAGGGCCGGGCTATTTTGATCATCTCTCAGCCGGGGGGATTACGCCCCCCCCCCAAGATCTCGGTCATCGAGTGACGAAAATTTTTGAAACTCTATACATGCACAGTAAAACTTATTATGAACATACCCAAGAAATTTCATGACTATAGGTCAAAGGGTTTTGGAATTATGGCTAAGTAATTATTCATATGCATGAATGGTAATTCTGCTTTGTGTTTACTACGTATATTTATGGGGAAATTCAGTTTTCACGGCGCATAGCGCCGGAACATTTTTTCGCTGCGCGGCAACCCGTTGTCCGATGTTTACTTGTTGGTATTAAAAGATGCGCAAGGCTCGAGGCTAAAAAGTCAGAACAGCTCAGGCCACGAATTGTTTTTAAAGCTATCGCAGAAAAAGTTAAGGAGGGGGGGGGGGGGGAGGCGGATTCCCCCTGGCCCCTTTAGGGTTAAGGAGATTTTCTTTTTAGAGCATCATTGCCTCTGTATCTTTAAAATATCGAAAACCGGTCAAAAGCAAATATCATCGATGTTAGTTGGGAAAACAACAGGTCCGAGTGGCATAAGCATTAAAAAGATTAAACATTGCTTCTCCGTATATTACGAAATGTTTAACTCATATCCTTAAACTCTACATAAGATGCGAGAGAAACCCCCAAAGATTGGAAACACGCTTTGGTAACACCGAATTCACAAGGGAGAAGACAAATGCAGTACAAGTGATTATCGGCTTATCTGATATCTATACTACCAATTGTCTCTAAAATTTTAGAAAGATGGGTGCACTCAGTGATATACACATAACTTGAGGATAACAATCTGATTCCTAGTTGCCAGTCAGGAACTAGGAATCAGACTATAGACCCTTGCACTCAACTTAAAGCCCCCTACATGATCCAACGGGCGCCTTCTAATGTTCTGTAACCCGTTGTTATTGACCAATCAACAGGTTTGGCCGAATTTCTGCTCTGACCGACATCATTAAAGGCGGCTCCAATTGGCTGGCGCGCTGGTTCGCATAAAATGTACATGTGTACACGCACGGAAACGTATGCAGTGTGGCTATGCACATGTGAACGTCTGATCCTCAGACTAGCCGTTGGTGGCTTTGGTGGATTTTTCTTTATATATGATATTTTGAGGCACATAATATTCATCATAAAAGGAAGTTCAGTTGTATTCTCTGCTTTATCCATCTCCGGGCTATAGAGTTATTATTTTCTACATAAAACTAAATTTGGAAATACAGAAGCCGGCCCAGCCGGCCAAGGCGAGCGACGCGATGAACGGCTGCAGAGAGTCTACGCCATTGCAGCCGTCCGTACTGCAGACGCACACCTCATGAACGACCGCCAGTTTTTTATCCGCCGTGTAGTTGGTGTCTTGCGTAGGGCCTTGTGTCCGAGTCACCATAATCCGTGTCACCCCCTGGTCGTCTTCTGTCTTCTCACACCCGTCTGAGCTGGTGAACTGACCGTCTTTTGGTGCACCTGTTAAACCGCAACCACGGTAAACTTCGCTCATGACGCTCGGTCCAGAAGCGTCGACTTCACCTGACAAAAACCAACATCCAAAATGAATCAAAAAGAAAATGACCGAGTTCGGGGGGAAATGTTCAAACTAATCAAAATATATGTTGCTCGCAGCATTTAATAAAATGGCAAGAATATTTTGAGTAAAAAAAGTGAAAAATAACGTAATTTACATACTCTGCTCACAAGGTTGTTCTATTTTAATAGAAATACCATACAATTTAGCTGGCCGCCACTGATCTTCAACGGGGTCTACCCGAAGTTCCCCAATACATTCCCCAATACCGATGTTCCCCGAAAACCTTACCCTTACCCTAACCCTAACCATAATTTCGGGGAATATAGGTATTGGGGAACATAGGTATTGGGGAACATCGGGAAGACCCCGTTGAAGATCATGCTCGTTTAACGTACTTCATCAAATTGCATTTTAAGGGGGAAATATAATTAATCACGGTCACTCACACTGCATCAGGACACAATGTTATCAATGTTATTATAATCTAACATCTGAAATGGGCTTCGCTGGTGTCCAATGTCGAGAGCACCAGTGCCCTCTGATTTTTGTCAGCTCTCATTAGCACTTTTATAGAATGTTGGAAAATGTCTAAAATTGGGCGAATTTTTTTCTCCCATTAAAACGAAACATACATATTTAAAATTCGTTAGGATTTTTGTTTAAGCATATTGCGAGGGGCACCAATCTTTAAAGGGAAAATACAACATTTGCAAACATCAAAAAATAAAACTACCAAATCATTTTGAAATACCTTGCTAGACTGTTAGTGAATGACAGTGTAAAGCATCCTGTAAAATCATGGCACCTGGTATACTGTCATTTTCAAGAAAAGTGCTATTGTATCAATTTCCAACGCTGATCGGCCGATCAGCGTTGGAAAAAACTGGCTTTTTTCAAATACTGGCCCCAACTGACCATCGCACTTGTTTGCAATCGATTACACACCTATGAACGGGTACAAGCCAGCTAGACTGGTTCCCTGACCTTACAATTCCCCAATGTATGTAAACTGCTCTGTTCCTTCTTATATGGAGTCAGGGAACCAGACTACTGTTTTTCTTGGTTTTTATAGCATTTTCGAACCCAAAACCTCAAAAAAGTCAGTGTAACTATATTTGCTATATATTTCCAACCCCCCAATTCCATCCATTTCTGAAAATTACAGCAAAAGCAAATGATGTATATTCCCTTTAAGGGTGCTGAGTCCCAATCAGGTAGGCCTATGATGTGGCTCACGGTCTGCGCGATCCGAGTTTCATCCTAAAGGCACTGTACGGTGAATGGTCTAAGGGATGCACACTGGTAAATAGGCCTAAATCCATCTGCCGAGCTCATGAAAAGTTATACCCTCAAAATATTCTGTATTAGAGAGTTCTGAGTGTCATGAAATAGGGGAATTGAAGACATATGGCAATGAACCTCTGGCCCGGCCCGGACTTGGGGCTTCCAATTCTGAGCATTTTGGATACAATTGGGCTCGAAAGTGACGCTATTTTGCCATATTGTGGAGGGATCATTTTTTTCAAGATGGCTACTTTTCCGCAGTGAGAAAAAAAGGAGTCGTCTTCTTTGGATGAATATCTCGA